ATCCGAAAAATTGATTTGAATCATTATGTATCATTTTGAACTATTTATTAAAATTTACACTTTAATTACTCGAAAAACGTAAGATTTCATGTTATATTGATAAACAGAAAAATTACAAATCCATAAAACATGCAAAAATAGTTATTGTTAGTAGGTTTTAAAAATAGGATTTTCGGATTCGAGGTTTTTTCATTATTTATTTGCATTTTCTGAGAACATTTATCATAGTAGTGTATATTTTTTTTATACCATCAGAAAGTACAGATTTCAACAAACAAAAAACACCCCAACTTTTTTAAAAAAGCAGATTTTTTGACGTGATAATTTTCGATTGAAAATTAGGGTGCTTTTTGGATATTAAGTCAAAATAAGGTGAAAAAATGAATATTTTAAATCAAAAAAATTACTGTATGTTTGGGACATACAATTACCAAATTCACCAAATTTCGTGAAAAAATATTTTTTTTTGCAAAAAATAAAAATCAAAAACCAAAAACTCGGTTATTCGCATTTTTCACATAAATTTTGAGGTTATGTGAAAAAAGTGTCGATACAAAAGTTGTAGATCTTTTTATTACCTACAACTTTGCCATTTAACTTTTTTTCATAGGACTTGCAGTTTTACCGGAAATCGTGATTAACCATTTTTTACCCTTAAAAACTCACCCCCTCCCCCTTCCCGACCTCCGATCGGCCGTAATTTATTTTTCCTTTCATTTTTGTTATATTCTCTACCTCTTCTAATGGGTTTCATCCTACTATAATTTTTTTTCACTTTTCACCATTTTTAAAATTATCGACCCTGGTCTATAATCCGTACGGATTGTGCAGTAGTCGATTTGCAAGAGCGACCAAGTAATTAACTACCATTCAATCCGTACGTTTATAAATTCCGACAAGAATGAACGGTAGTAACCTGCTAATATAACATTATAAATGGAATGGTCAAAGCAAGATTTGTTTCGTTGTTTCCATTGCTGATTCAGCAATCTCTTGCAAATTTTGGTTATCTCGGCTAATATATATATACCCTTCATTTTGGTTGGCGTTTTTATATGGAACTACTGGGAATAAATACTATAGGTTTGGTATTCCTCCCACTAGTTCCATACGCGGAACTAGTGAATAGCGATATTTCCATGTGGAACGAGATACATGGAACTGCTATGAATAAAAGCTTGTCTAGTCTATATAAATAAAATTATTGTTAAGCGGATGTTATGTTATTCATAATAATAAAGCTACTTATTACCTAATATAATGTCATTTTTTTTCATTTTAGTGGTGTGAGAACTAGAACTTGCTCTGCGAATACTATATATATACTAACTAATAACTGGGCCATTTACCGGGGATTGTTACCATGCACCTTGTTTTTTATGAGTCCGATATTTAGACACTGTTATAACCGCCACAAATAACTAAAGTAATTATGGGTAGATGTTATTGGCAGACATATCGGTCTACCCTCTGACGTTGTCTTTTATTACGCTCGATATCCCTACCACTGGTCACATTCTCATTATTCACTCGCACCTGTTCCCGAAACACAATGATCACAGTATCAGATCGTGGAACGATACTTTTTTTGAACATACGAACCACTGGATTCCAGTCAGTTGACAATTTAAACTCGATGTCGAGCCATTACAATCAAGAGATACAGCTTGGTGACAGACAGACGGACAGCGGAGTCTTAGTATTAGGGTCTAGCTACGGAACACTTATGTATGCATGCTCTGGCTGTCCTCGGGCTGCCTGATCTTTTGCATTTGGTGAATCGATGTACGATCTGAAATGTATGGAATTGAATCGATCTTAGTTCGTTTAATAAAAAAGTGTGACGTCATGTCCGCGGTGTATGGAGGTTTGGTCAAGGGGTTACTTCCATCCCCCCTACCTTTCTGACCCCTTTCCTCTCGAAGAGGACCTTAACCCTGCGAAGCTCAACTCGTGCCCCTACAGTGGCGCAAGGGCGTACGGCTTATGACTAAGGGGGAGCAATATAATCAATGAAATAAATATAAATAGGTGTAAGGAAGTCAGTTGCTCGCACTTTGGTCGCTTTGCGGGGGGAAGGGGGGCAACTGCCCCCCTTGGCGATGCCCTTGCAGAGGCATGCTTGGGCTTAAACGAACCGGAACAAAAATCCATACAAAACTCCCACGAGGAAAACAGCGAGACACGTTATCACGTAAAATTATTGTCCGTTGTAACTATTTTGAGATATTAACAATAAGATGACTTTCGCTCAAAAAAGACTTCTTTCAGTATTAACTCTTTTAATTTGCATGTCCTTCCTCTCGCATCATTTTCCTAATTGTGCGCCCTCTTTACTTGGTCTTATTATTGTCTTTCAAGCGTGGTCAATATTCTGCAGACAACTTTTCATATCACGACCTGCCCTAGCATGAGTACCGCGATATGGTATATAACGCGTTTTTATCACGCTTTATTGTCAAATTACTATGGAGTTTGACAGTTAAACATGATATAATGTAAATTGTGGTGCTCATGCTACGGGGACTGGTGTACCTGTCTTATCGGATTCGTTCTCCCAAGATTAAAGCTACAGTGCAACTTCAGAGTAGCTTTGCGCGTATAGACCATGGCGAACTACTTTCTTAAAGATACTACTAATACGGACTGTTTGACAATTTTTGCTACTAATTGTGCAGATGAACAAGTGCAACTTTTTAATAAGCTTCCGACTGATTTATATGATCTTCATGCTTCAATTCGACCCATTAAAATTAAGTCTACCTACTCCTTGGCTCACCGAGGAGATCCGACGATTGATGAATAAAAAGAAACAGGGCAAAGGCAAAGTTCAAACTTGATCCTTCAAAAATAATGAGGCCATATACGATCGTGCTAGCAACCGGTGCAACTTCGTAGTCAGAGACGAACAAAGATGCCACATTCACAATTCAGTGGAAAATGAAGACTCCGGGAAGGTTTGGAGATTTCTGAGATCAATGGGAGTTGGCAAGTCACGTAGAACCAATCCCTGTAATAATCTTAATGTCGATCAACTTAACAGTTACTTTTCCTCTACTATCTCCATGGATGAGAACCGTAAGCGTTTAACCTGACGTCATCTTTCTAGTCTGCTAACTCTTGATCCTCTCTTTGTCATACATCAATTTGCGGAATGTGATGTTATATAACTATCTTGTCCATTAGCTCCAGTGCGGTAGGCTAGGCAGTGATTTAATCAGCTGCAAAATGATTCTTCCTATTTTAGATATCCCGATTCCTGTGATCACAACTATTCTCAATACTTCAGTCTACTGGAATTTTTCCTTCTTCCCGGAAAGATGCCAATGTCATTCCTCTCCCCAAATATTCCAATCTTACCTCTCTTTCGGAATATTGTCCCATATCCATTCTCACATTTTTATCTAAGGTCCTTGAAAAACTAATATCCCTACAGCTTACGGTTCTTCATTCGAACCACCTCCTCAACTCATTTCAGTCTGGTTTTCGTAGGGGCGACAGCACTACTACTGGCAACCTACGTTGCTGACGTTGCTTGATTTTAGTAACGCCTTCAACTCAGTCGACTTTAACATCCTTCCAGGTGTTTTAGGTTCACTTAGCATATCTCCATCCGCAATTGATTGGTTTCGAAGTTACCTGCTAAGCCGCCGACAACGTATCTGTATTGAAAACACCTTGTCTTCTTGGTGTGATATCAATCATATCCGGTGTTCCTCAGGGTAGCGTCCTATCTCCTCTCCTATTTTCTATCTTTATACACTCTATCACACTATCGCTTTCATATTCAAATAACTTTATGCTGATGACCTGCAGATAGGTATACACTCAGGCCCCTTTATCTGACCTATCTATCTGACTAGCGCAGTTTTGAATATTAACGCATATTGGTCGATTGTAAGTAGTTGGAGTGAGTCATTTAGTCTATACTTAAATCCTGAATAAACTCAATCGAGCATAATTTGAAGTCCTTATTTTATTTCCAGGATCGATTTTGATCAATTTCCTCCTATTATTTTGACCGGTTTATTATTCCCTACTCAGAGACCGTCCGAAACCTGGGTGTTGCCTTTGACCAATTTCTCTTGGAAACCGCATGTGGCGGTAGTCAGAAAAAGGTGTTTACTGCGTATAGTTCCCTTAGTCGCTTGCGTAACTTTTTGCCGTTCAGTACCAAAACCAACTTCGCAAATTTTCTCTTGTTGTCCATCATCGACTACGCTGACGTTTGCCATACCAATATGTCACAGGACTTTCTCAATAAAGTAGAGCAACAGCAGAATATTTGTATCAGTTTTATTTATAAATATCCGAAAATTCGACCACGTGTCTCACTACCGTAGTCACTACCCTATTCACCGGCGCAGGGGTTTACACACTCACGCTTCTCTGTTCTATGCTTATCCTGCCATCTTCTCCGCCTTATCTTAAGCAATGTTTCTCTTTTCTATCCTCTTCTTCTCTGCTCTCGCTGCGATCCTCTTATAACCTTCTTCTTGAAATTCCCTGGCACTCTTCTGACTTCTTTTCTGTGCACGCTGCCCGGCTGTGGAATTCTCTCCTTGCAGGAATCAAGGCTGGGTCACATAATTCCTTTTGCAATCAAGTTAAACGCTATTACCTTTCTTTTTTTTCATATTTTTGAAATTTCTTATTTAATTAGGCCCCTTTCTCACGATATCGGAAGTTTTTTTGAAAGCACTATTTTTCGGTGAAAAAAAGTCGGTTGTTAGAGATTTACAAAAAAAGTTTTTGACATTTCCAAATATTTTTTACATCTTCTTAATCCCTTCAAATTCCGCGTCTTTTGAGCACTCAAACGTACTCGTGGCCCTTAACCTCGGGGTATCACGGGCGAGTCGCACTTTTTGTTATGAAAAAACATTTTCAATATTAAAAAACGATGAATCGTATTGCCGTGAATCGGTCTTTCGAAGAGATCTATTCAGATCGGGCATCCCTAAATATGTCATGCAAAAAAATAATCCCTGGGTTTTTTCACTGTATAGCTCTGCCTTTGCCTTTCCCAAAATGAGAAAAACTCATTAAAAAAAGTATTCATCTGTTTTGACTTTTGTTGAATTTGTTGTATTGTATGTGGAGATCTAAAATAGATTTGCGAAATAAATTTTAATAATTACCTTAAAATCAGTAAAAGTAATAAAAGTTATAATAAAAAGTAACTTGCTATTAAAATTTCAACAATGGCCGTAGTCGAACTCGCAAGACTTCCCTCAAATGTAAGTCGACCTTTTTTTATACAACATTTTTTGTTGTAAAGACACAAAAGCTTTATTCAATACAAGCTACATGTTACTCAAGTTTAATGTAGTTTACTAATGGTAAAAGAATTTTTGGATTCGGCGAATATTTCCCCGCAGTAAAACGTAGCCTATGTACTAATCCAGAGTCATAACTCCAAACCAAATTTTATTAAAATCGCTCCAGCCGTTTAGACTTGAAGAAGTAACAAACATACAAGATACTCTAAGATAATATTATTCAAAGATTTAAATCGTTAGACCTGACACCGAAAAACTGTGACCATATTATGTAATGCCGGCCGTTTTGACACATTTCAATAGTGAAGTGAAATGTGAATTTATTGTCAAAAAAACACAAATGTAATCAAATGTGAATTTTTTGGTAGTTTAACCAATATTGCAAGTAGTAGCTGATTAAAAATATTGAATAAAACGAAAATATTAATGTTTATTTACCCTTAGCAATCCTGTATTAATTTACCTGGGTCATTCTTTGATATATATTATTTTTAACAAAATTTTAGTTATTTTAATAAACCTCAATGCAAGGAATTTTTAATAAGTTAAATGTAATCTATGTGTATAAAATTTAATTTCAAAAAGAAGGGCACTTGTTTTATTTTAATATTTAAAGCAATATTTTTAAATTTAGAATTATTCATGTTGTGGAAAATGACACAGTATGCTGAGAATGATATCAGCATGGAACATAATGACGCAGTGTTGCAGTAAATGATTTAAAAGGTTTCAATTTGGGTATTTCACAATAAACACTTATTTAATCATTTAAAACAATTTTATTTATCAAACTTTGATAAGAAACTAACAAATAATCAAAACTAATTGAGATTATAAAACATCTATGACGCTAGAGTAACTATTTGGTTCTAAAAAACTTATCATTCTAGGTGACTACCTTAGGTAATTAATAAAGAAGACTTTCTTAGGTAATTAATTCTTTGGTAATCATTAAAAATCACAGTCATTAATTAACTTATATCTGTAGCAAGTAATTGGTTATTTACTTAATAATCATGTATGTCAACTATTCACTTAATGAACAATAACTTAAGGAACAGTCAAAAACTTAATTAGTTACTTAACCTTATACATCAAATATATACCATTATCTTACAAATCAATACCTTAATTATGTCTTACAAGTATTTGACTTAGCGAGGGAGTTACACATTAAATAATCATTTACATGATGACATTTTCTTGTACATACCAGAACAATATTTGAATGCAATAAATGTAGCGCAATAATTGATCTTCAAGAACACGTGGATGTAGTAAAAAGGTTGCATACAAGTATACCAAGAAAAGTTTTGAAGCATAACTTGTATAATAGATCAAGAATGTTATGTGCTGTATAGACTATGCAAGTCATTTATTGATTCAATTTAATTATATGAAACAGGCAAGAAACTTGCATCATGTAAATGGCTCTTAATTCGAAAAAACTTGCATCACAATATTTCGAGAAAAGAAAATGTACAATACATTTTCTTTTATCGAAATATTGTGATGCAAGTTTTAGTTTAATAATAAATTCTTATATTGATTTATGGGTAACAGAATACAAAGAAAAAAGAACTCAAAAGAATCATTAAATGTATCAAATATTAATTACTGATGTGTAGTCTTATTGGTGACATCAATAAGAATATCAGAAATAAGCTTGATTTTGTTCTGATTTGTAAATTTGCGTTTAGTTTTTGCCAATGGAACTATGTTACAAGAACTTACGTCAGTAATAGTGTTTTTATTAACGGCATAATTACTGTTGATAATATACCCTAGATGCTTTCCATGGTTGCAAATTTCACCAACGTCACATAGAAAGCAACTCATACTTCTCATTGTAATTTTTGGTGTAAAAAGGTCCCAAAGAACTTGATGCACAGAGAGGCCCTCTCTCTCTGAAGGGTTTCAACTGCTTGGGAATCAATTTCTCCCTTTGAATAATTTCTTCCTCGGAAACTTTTTTAATTATAACATTTTCTAGTCTTGATTCCATGATTTTGTAAAATTGATCAAAATTTCCAACATCTGAACCAAAATGAACCCATTGATCTGCTAGTCTTGACGGTATGTTGCCCATAATGATGTAGCTTAAAATGACGAGTTGAGGAAAAAACCTGCACGAACTTGTCTGTGAGCATAAAACGTCAGCAATGATTATACTAAATGAAATCTATTTCTGCTGGATATTATAATAAAAACAAACGAAAATGTTACGTGTGTGTATTCAAGGTACTTAGATTGAAATACAAATGACTTAATCGATGACAAAATATAAATAATTAGAAAAAAATACTTACAGCTCACAGAAACACACGTGTTAATTCACCGCGACGTTACCGTCAACTGAGGTCCCCTCCCGCGCACCCGGGAGAGTGAACTAAAGTTACGTTTGCTATGTAGTTTTTTAATAATATTTTTTTTTACGTTATTGCGATGAATGACGTTTAACTTATAACAATATTTTTACTTAAAGTTTAAGTTAGTTATTGGCAAGTGTTTTAAAAGTTTATTAATGTAAACGAAGGGTAATTTATAAGTCTTTAAATAGGACATGTTATTATATTTTTAATTTGATATTAAATAATTTGGAGCTAAGTAGTTCCCTGAAGATACACAATTGGAATAAGAGTAAAATGACGTTTGATGACCTTTTTGAAGCGTTGATTGACAATAACCAGTTGTATATATTTTTTAAACTTGGTAACATATAAAATATTGCCAAATGTAAATAAAAATCATATCAAATGCATTGCAAAAAATCAGTATGCTAAATTATTAAGTCGGAAGACAAATTTAGAGTCTTTTAAAGAAAAACCCACCTGATTGTTTCACATTGCGAATTTAGAAAAATATAAATGCCGCGTGACAGAGTGAATAAGTTGCATTGCAATTATATTATTATTTGTGTGATATAACAGTTCTTGTTTATAATTATTATCATTATAATAAAAAAAAAATCTTAACTTAATCCTAACTCATAATATTGCAGCATAATTTCATCATAAAGCAAGTTATTTAAACAAAAGTTTTTTATTCTTCAATAAATAAAATTAATCAAAATCAGTCTTATTGACTAGGTCATTGTCTTTGTTTGTCTCAAAATACCTATCCCTAGAGAATACCATTAGGAATCTTTTTTTTTAATAACAGCCTAGAAGCAGAGCAAATATCCAATTTAATTAAGATTCCCAAAAGTACCTTATTGCCAGTGTTGATATTATTTGGCTTACATTTGATGGGTCAGCCGCAAATATTGCAGCTGCTAAAATCTTAGGCTGTCTCAGTTACATCAGTCAAATAATTTAAAAACAACCGTTTCACATCCATGTGGTGGTTGAGATGTTGCAATTTTTTAGATGAAATTCACATGCTAAAATTTTTCTGATATTCTTTTGAAAATAAAATAATACATTTTCGACAAACACAGTAATGATATTTAATGATGATTGTTTTTAAAGCTTAAAAGCGAGTCTCATAGTTTTAAACACAAGTGTTCAATGGCCAGATATGTAGGTCTTACTATTTCTGCTTCCACTGAGTATTAAAATTAAAACATTACCCATTGTATGTGATGCTGACGCTACCATATTATTCCCAGTTGTTTATGTCCAGTCATGTGCTGTCTGATCAAACCTCAATATTTATGACAATGAAAGAAAATAAATTTGATTAATGAAGTCTAAATACTTACAAGTGAAATGTTACACTATTAGCTTTATTTGTATTTCTCGAATTGTTAGTGCACTCTTGGAAGGCACATGAAGGCATTTTAATACACTTTTCTCACAAAAAATGCCTATGGAATCTTAATAACCAACATCAAACTGTCACTATGTTCAGTTAAACACTGATTAGACAATACATGATGAGATGGGAGTTTGCTCATTAGAGTGTAGACAGATTTTTGGTGCGGTCAAACTATGGTAAGGATATATCTAACGATTTAAATCTATGATATTATCGATATAGATTTCATGAGCTTAGCTCTGAATTCAAATTTATTATGAAATCTTTATCTTTAGCTCATGTTAATGTATGAAATTATATATTTTTTTATAGGTTAAAATGCCAAAATTGTTGTTCAGCATGAGGGGGTTATTGAAAGGCGCGGGAATGAAGAACTGTAAGTTTTGGATTTTAGAGCTTGCTGACAGTTATAATAGTGATCTCAAAGAAGCCAAAATAGAATTTCCCACATATGAAGAGGCACTTAAAGCAGTGGAGAGACTTGACAATTTAAAATATCGTGTTAATACTGAAACTAGTGTCCTAACCGCTAGAATATCAGGTGGTACCAAGAACCGGAAGCAATCACGTAGTCCTTACAGAAGCAGTCGATCTCGTTATCGTAGAAGCAGATCAAGAAGCAATAGTTTTCGTAGATACTATTCACCAGAAAGAGTTCGCTCTCGCAGTCCTTTGTTCAGGGAGACTACGTCTAAGCTTGATGTGAGTAACTGATGGATGATTAGGGGTCATCTATAAAGTACACTAATTTCCTGATTTCTTTGACCTCGCCGCCTTCCTTGTGATATTTAGTCACATTTGTGAAACTTCTCTCTAGTGTGATGTAACATATTTTGATGAATGAGATTATTAAATTAAAGCAGCAGTTCCAAAACTTAAGCCTACAAAACAAAATTCATTCAGATAAGAGTTCTAAATATTTTAAAGGTTTTTGATAAAGTTTAAAAGTATTCGATTTTGAAATGTGACGTCCAAAACTTAGCTCCCACCCCTTGTCACAGTTCTTTAACCCTGTCCCTTTCCCTAAACGTGTGACGTACTTTATGGATGACCCCTAAGCAACGTCTTATTTATTTATGTATTTTTATTTCGGAAACATACAGTTTTACACAAATCAATTAAGTAACACTTAATTATACAATAAACCACTTAAGTTTCCACATACTTAGGGCTGCCATCTCTAAAATGTGGCAACCAGGATAAGACGCGTGATAACCCCGGATTTTGAAGCCCAGACAGACCAATAAAAAAACAGTTAAAAATGTCACAGATCAACTTTTTTATGTTGATCTAGGCCAGAGTTCCCCAAACTTTTTTATGTCGTAGACCCCTTGCAGGTTGTCATAGACCCCTAGGGGTCGATATAGACCACTTTGGGAATCACTGATCTAGGCAAAAGAGCTAGCGGTCTACCTCATAATAAGTGGTCACTGCTGCCCATGGACACTTGCAGCACCAAGGGCCACTCATGCGTTGCCGTAAAGTTTTAAACCCGGACTACAAATAAAACCCCGCCCGGACGCTCCCCGGACGCCCCGTAAACTAGGACAAATTCGGGGAAACCCGGACGGATGGCAGCCCTACACATTCTGAAATATATATACACTTACACAATTAAGACTAAGTTACGTACAATTAAGTAATGTGAATACAACAAAGATCATGATAACTAAGAAACAATAGGGTAAACAACTTTATAGAATTAATATCTAAATTGATTGTATGAATATGAAAGGCAAAATATATCCAATCCCCAGAAGTATTTATTATAGTTGTGGCATGTTCTAGATATGAAACGATTTGCAGCAAACTTGGTCATGGAAATTGCATTAGTTCTATTTGGACAACGGAAACCAATCCTCTGCAAAAGGAATGGTGAATCTACAAGGTTATTAATAAGTTTATAAAGAAACAATTGATCACTAGCCCCCTTAATAATAAACAAGGAATAAGCTTAAACGAGTTACGCCCTGTTTTGTTCATGTCACTCAAATGCCATTTGCAATTCAATAGAAAAAACATGGAGTAACTAATCCATGTGTAATCTTCGTTTATTAATAAGGGGGAAACAGTTCTGCGATGTCGCAAGGATGTTACCTGTAACTTTGTTTCACAATCATTAATAAATTAAGTTAACATTAGTTTTAATTTAATTTTTTTTAAGCATGTAACTGCTTGATGTTTAAATCTAAAGAAAATATAACTAGAAAAAATTTCACGCGGACCAGGCAGCAGACGGGACTCGAACCCGCACCCTTCACAATTCGGGCGAATGCACTGACCAATTATGCTGCCGCGGCCCTGACGGCCGCGTTGAAATTCTTCTAGCCATTCTTAAGCTGCTAGGCATCGCTATTTCTTCGCATTGTGGTGACCCACAATGTCAAATGAATTCATTTACAAGTATTAAACATTTGAAAGAAGAAATCACCCAACTTGGGGATGCCCCGAGGCATCGGAGACATCCTCACCTACAGACAGAGGCCTGTGCAGAGCAATGCAGAGCTCGGACCTCCCAAGTCCGGGCCCCGCTATCCTCCGTCGGTGTTTACTAAGAGTCGGTTTAGTAACCGGAAGGCGTAATCGCCTTATCCTAGCTCGCACCCTCCGGCGGCGAAGAGAGTCCGCGTGAGCGTGCTCCTCACGAACCCTCTCAATGGCCTCCTTCTGCGAGATAACCTCCTCGCAAAATGAGACCACCGTGCCCCAAGACCTGTCACTGCCCAGCATAGCTCTGAATATGCTGGGCAGGTAGATGTCTCCCCCCAACAGCCGCGACCAGAGTACGACACTGCTGCGACCAAGCAGTGCATTCCTCGAGGGTATGCCGAGTCGTGTCCACAGCAGCGCCGCACTCGTGACACGACGGGGTCGCCTCCCTCTGGATCCGATGCAGGTACTGTCCAAAGCAGCCATGCCCGGACAGCACCAGCACCAGCCGAAAAGTTAGCGACCCGAATCGACAATCCACCCACTCATCCAGGACAGGGTATAATGCCTCGGCCGTTTTGCAGACGGAGCTTCCACTCATCCATTAGCTCTTCCTCGGCCTGTCTCCAGATGTGCACCATTTCCTCCGGGGAAATTCGTTCTACTCTTACCATGAATACCAACTGCTTCTAGCTTTGAAATTATCAAATAATAGGGTAGCTTTCTAGCTTGTGGAAGGCTTTCGATTAATCGGTATACACGACATCCATTTTATAACCGCTTTCCATATATATCCCTCTGTCAAAATTTCGAACAACTCGCATAAGTTACTTTCTACGGAGCGTTTGTTGATTGATATAACCATGCTTAAAAGTATTTATCATTGGCCGGAAATAGTGTCATGTATTACCTTTTCGAAAAGTTTAGGTATCACAGAATGTTTAGAAATTGGTCTATAACTCTTAACGTCGTGCTTATTTCCCTTACCCTTGTAAACTTGCAATTTTTTTTTATTTATACTTTAATGAACTGATTTTTTACCTTCATGAACCTGGCAAAATTATTTACTTTTCAGTTGGAGTTGGAGCTATTAAGAAAAAAACGTTTAGTCATTGAAGAAGAAAGAAGGCTACTCATGGAACAGAAGAAATTAGATATGATCCGGGTATGTGCATCAGCCAATTTAATTAACAATTGAAACTTTATTGGTAAATTTCTCTTAAGGTCCCTTTTTGTAAGAGATATATATATATATGCTCCTATTCCCTAGAGATATACAATAATCTGAAAGTATGCACAGGTGCATTATGCACTTAATGGAAAGAGTCAATCACCTGCTTTGTAATCCCTATTTGGTATTGTAATAAAAAAAATCAATTTAGTTACAAAAAAAGTTTAGTGTCTTATTTTAGTATGGCATAAGCTGCTAAACTGAGTTTACAACACAGCAAAGTATCAGGAAACCAATGCATTTTTGCGTATAATACTTAAGAATTATGTTAATGCAACCTAATCTAGGTTCTCGTTGTTTAATTTCAACAGTTCAATTCTAATATTAGGGAAAGCGAAATGCATATAACACAACAGCAAAAAAAACATTGTTTGTATCAGAAATGGCTTGCTTTTAGGTGGGGACATCAAGAGATGCCCCTGAAGCATGTCTCAATTCACTAACACTTCCGACACCAGCTTTAAAAAAACAAAATAAGTATATGTTGGCATGTTAACTTTTATTCTCTGATACATCCACAGGAATATGGACCAAGTATATCGAGAGATATGGACTATAATGAAAGGGATAGGATTAGAAGTGACCGGTCGATGAGAGAAACCACAAGGCCAATAAGGGATACAAGAAGGCCAATAAGGGAATCAACAAGGCCAATAAGGGAATCAACAAGGCTAATAAAGGAAACAGCAAGGCCAATAAGGGAAAGGTCAAGGCCAATAAGGGAAACGAAGATGGGAGCAGAGGGAGTACCTACTGTCAAACCTGCAGTAATGCCTAACTTTTATAAGCCTCGCCGCTTAATCATGATGCAAATGAAATCAATAATTTCTGAACACACAGAGCCAGAAGAAAGACAAAATCTAGAGAAACTCATAGGCCTTCAATTGAGAAAAAGGCTAGCTGAGGCATTGCAAAATGAAACGTATTTGCGAGTAGAAAAAGTAGTAGAACTTTATCGCACCAAATATCCAGAGGCAGGTGATAAAGAATTTGTAACCGAGATTCTAAAAAACCTCCGCATGAGTCATTGGCACTTATCTGATGATACAAAGAAAGTAAAGAAAGATAATGGTGATCAGAAAAATAAGAAAACGGAAATCGCACAAAAGATTGAAGTTGACCAAGGTACAAATTAATACCACAAGCCCATTAAACTTTTGTTAAATGCGAAATGGTATGTGGTTAATTATTATTATTTTGTTAGAAAAATCAACCTGAAAATGGGTTTATTTAAAACAGAAATGCAGTCTTATTTGACAATCTTATTTATAAGGTTGCTCAAAAGCAATAAAAAACGCAAAATGAGATTTTTTTGTATTAAAAAATCTGGAATTTTGCAACTGGAACTAGCCTCATAGATTATACAAAAGAAAAGCTTAAGCTTTCCAAGTGATATTGCCAGAAGGTCTTCAAAGAAGGCAATTTATGTTTGTCTTAAAATATAACAAAAACATAAGCATCATCATGAAAACCCTGGCATATACACATTTGTACTCAAATCGAGGGGCACAAATTTTTCATGGGCTACTAAAATATGCCTTTACTTGGATGATTTTTAATTGTTCAGTCATACAAATCTCTTACATGGATAACATAACCATTGTAAGAGCAGTTATGCTCAAATGTTAAGATAATCATACATATGAATTAATATAATAAATTAATAGCTTTAATCTATTTATAGGTAGTCTACCTGTTTCTACCGAGGCGATAAAAAAAGAGCCGGAAGATGCTTCTCCACCGAAATTAGATATTAAAGTCGAAATTGAAGCCCAAGAAGCAGAAATAAAACTAGAGGATACTGAACCTGGGACATCGGACGACTTGGAGGCAGCTGATGATTGGATTGAAAATGGCATTGACTGGGACGATGACGAAAACGAGGTGAGTATTGCCAATCCAAAAAGACCCTAAAAATCACTTTGATTAGCCGTCCTTCTAAAATCACCGTAGCTTCTTTTAAGCCAGACAAGATAAGACACTTGCACTTTTTATTACAGCATGTAAGTTTAATTATGTATATGGTAAGTCTGATTGTACCTAAGTCGTTAACGGCGACCATTCAGAAAGCTGTGTACTATTTTACGTAAATTTAAATGACATAAAATTAAACTCTGGTCTGGAAATGGTCACGGTACTTAGAATTTTACGTTGATAGGTTGGAAATTTTAAGTTACTTTATCAATTTACCGCGAGACGTCGTAAATTGATTAATTTACAAAAATGTCCCCGTAAGATAATACATTTTATCTCTCGTTTACATTCAAATTTGGTAATTTACTAGGAAATTGATAAACTTACGGAATGTATTATATTCCGGTGACATATGGTACTAGGTACATTAAGGTTTTAAATAAACCCAAAATTTTCAAACAAAAAAAAATATATACCACTGGACGCACTTGAACATATTATTTTCCTATATTCTACCATTTTCTTTCTTTTCGGTCACCCCCACACCGTGCAAATCCTCAGCAAACATTATGTGAACCTCCAGTAACTCCCAGTCAAAAGTCTACAGAGTTAAACGCAACCAAAAGTCATGGCCATTTGTTTTTGCTGCCCTAGACATTCGGCCCACATACTCAGGGCTCCGGAGTGGTAGGACTACTTCACAATGTGCAAAGTTGCCTCCTTATGTATGTGCGTGTGGACTCAGTGATCTTTTCAGAAAACTCGTCCAACCACAACCAAATTATAAGAGGATTTAGGAAATACATAACTGTGAAAACTTCATGGAAAGGTATAAAATTTGTGAAACCTAAACAAAGAAAGTTATATATATATTCTTCACCTTACCGTGAGGTTTTCACAGTCATTTCCTAAATCCTCCTATAATTTGGTTGAGGTTGGACGAGTTTTTGGAAAAGATCACTCAATCCACACACACATTCCTTATGTTATTCTGGCGCGCTCGAGTAAGTCCATAAACCCCTACTTCGGCTCGGAAGTTCGAATCCCGTTGGGGCATGTTATATGTATTTCTAGATAAATATACTTTATACCATATATCCATTACCCTAGGATCCTATAACAAAAGCCATAAAATGCTTATTATAATTGGTGTGTGTTAGAAATAATTATCTATTTATTCTAATATATATTTTCTTGTTCCAGGAGGATCAAGAGCCTGTCAAGATGGAGGACCAATAATGCATTAAAAATAGACCTATGTTTAAGTTTCCATATAATTAATTACTTCCTAAAATAAAACTACATACTTTAACTATAAATACTCGTACATTATAAAAATAAAACTACGTGGTTTAAGTCATATAGTGTTTTATTAAATGTTATGGTGGCAAATAATCCTGACTGAACCTTCAATGAATATGTCACAATGATTGTTTTAATACAACTAATTTATCCTCAGATGGTTTTTTTAATTAAATGGATTAATTATTCTTATAAATTATGTTGTAGCTACTGATGCAACGTATACGAATATTCGTATTCGGCGAATATGAAATTATATTTAATGGTTTGACTTTCGTGGCCGCTAAAATTACTTTTAAAAAAGCAGCTAAAAAGCGGCTCCTCAAAGACCTCTTATAAAGTTTACGGTGAGAAAAAAAACAATGCAGAAAGTTCTTCTGCAACACCATCTATTGACGCCTGGTGAAACAAGAGATAGGCCGCTTTTGAATTAAATTTTAACACATTTTTATTTAATTGTAGAAGGTTAATCAGAATATGAATAATTGAGGGTTAGGCTACTTTTGCACTGACAGCCTCAACTATTTGCGAATTAATAAAGAAAAAAATTGTAAGCATCTCCGTTTGATTATACCAGGCTGCGTTCCGAACCTACGTTCCAGGTGCAACAAATGTCAAATTAGAAATACGTCTTAAATGTTAAAATTGCAACATCAAGATTATCAGAGAGACACTCATGCAAAAAATATTTTTCATAAAAACCAAGTACAGTTGCCTCGGAGGCTTTTTTGGACGGAAAATTAAAATCGCCTGTCACCAGTTAATCTACAGAAGTGTTTTCCTAATAAAAAATTGCCAGTTGCAAATTTTTTATTATTACTATATATAATAAAACAAATAGAAAAAGGTTTATTCAATGAGTGTTTTACGAGTTGTTCGTATTCGCCGGATAGTAGGTTTGATTGATATATGATACGACTGCAAATAAACTGGGCCAACCGCTAGTACCTTGCAACTCTAATTCGATTTTTTCAAAAAGTATAAAACTTACAACTATTACAGCTATATCTTCAGAAAGTGTGTTTCATAACTATTAATATGAGTAAAATTTTATTCTAAAGTACTGTCAACTTACTTTGTAATCGAGCAAGAACAGCAATGCTAATTTTTTAATTAATTCGCGATTATCGTTCTTTTTTATAAAATGAAGATAGTCTGATACTTCTTATCTAAGGAAACTTAGTTTTCTCAGACGGGAGTATTTTTGCTTTGTTCGTTACTTCCGAATACCACAATTGGAAAACGATTCTTCCTTGGCTTTTTTTTTAATAAAAATATAATTAATTGATTAATCGCAATAAATTCTAGTTCATTTTAATCACCAAGAAACGCACTTTCTGTAGTTATAATTTGGTAGTTTTAAGTTTTATACTTTTTGAGAAAATCAAATCAGAGTTCCGTGGTAGGAAGTGGCCCAGTTTATTTGCAGTCGAGTGTAGATAGTTTTCGCATTCGTAAAAATAGTATTCGTTGCATCACTAGTTTTAGCTGTTTACTACCTACGAGTAACTAACAGAAATAAAAGAAAATATTTACCAAAAAATACCACTCTGTCCAGGCTTCAGACAGTATTCGAATCCGCACCTTCCGCGGTCCGAGCGGACGCACTAGCTGGGTTTGCGGATGATGCGGGTTCGAATCCCGTCTGAAAGCTGGATCGAGTAGAATTTTTTCTTTAGCTTAATAAATCTAGCCCTTAAATTGCTTAAAGTATACCTAACTGAAATTATATAATTTTCTATTGTTGACCTTTAAAAGCAAATACTCCACGTCCGTTATATTACTAATAATGTGTATAAAGTATTTTTTTTAATCATTTCAAGTAAAAAAAAAAAGAAACAACGTAAGTCGTACATCAACCATAAAATAAACGTCAAAACTTCGCTATTCAGCTACTTTAAAAATTAAAGGTGATTTTATGATATGAAATCTACAAAAAAGACAACATTAAAAGTTACAGCTACCCACACAATTTAAACATCAATTACAACGAATTAGATATGATATGGAAGAATTACTCTCATACAAAGGCTTCTAGAACATGGTTCCACACTCATACAACTAAACTTCAATACTAAAGCGACACAGACAAATCAAATATCTACCAAAGAATTCTATATATGCATTGGGTACGATAATGTTAAACAGAAATCCCAACCAATCCCATGATCGTCATCGCATCGCACTTTTTTCGCCCCACCTACTTGATCGCAGTTTGCGTGGAACCACTTTTTAGCGCAATTTGTATTCCATATTATTTATAATTCGATGACAATGGTACTATTAATTCTAATAATCTTCCAAGTCTGTTTCTTTGATTTCAGTGATCTCGTCTTCGACACGGTATTCTTCTCCGTCCATCATGAAATAGTCTTCTCCGTCGTCAACGTCATATGTCGCGTCTTCCTCAATTGCTTCATTTTCATCATTGTTAGTCACATTTCCCTCGGTTTGATCATTAGTATCGGTATTTTTAACACCATTATCATTATTTTCTTTTGTACCACTGTTCTCTTCACCTTTATCATGTGTATCATTATTCTTTTCACCTTTCTCATTTGTGACGCTATTATTCACAGAATCGTCCTCGATGTTCTCATTTTTAACATCATCTCCCGTATCCTCATTTTTGACATCATCATTTGTGACACCATCATTTCCTGTGTCATCTTTTTTGACACTATCATTTTTCTCATCCGTGTCATCAGTTTTGATATCATTATCTTTGACATCATCGTATTCATTCCAAACACCTTCCACGTCTTCGTAAAATAACGTTTCGTCTTCGGTACAGTCTATGACTTCCGTACTAGAACCTTGAGTTTTCTTAGCAACCATGGACTGTCTAGAAAGATGATTTTGAATATCATCTGTGGTTATTATTGGTTTTTTAGGAGTTACGTGCAGGGGTCTGAATTTTAACTCTGTAATCTCGCCTGAAAACAAAAAATGAATCGTTGTCAGAGATTGGCAACTATTATGCCTTATCCGAGTTTCATTGACTAAAAGTATAGCTTAATCATAACGCCGTAGTGGTGCAGATATTTTTTTTATACATATATCTTCACGCCGCGTCCTTTGTGGTATAGGTAAATATAAAAACATCATTATTGGTGTCGATTCTGACATGTTTGTCTAATTTTAAACTAAATTTAACATCAGTCAGTCAACATAAACTTAAATTTGACAACAGTGTATCATCAAGGCTACACTGTTGGCAAATTTAAGTTTATGTTTAGAGAACCCTGCCAGAATCAACACCATTGTTCATCAAATTTTATGACCACTTATTTGAGAAAGTTGCTCGATGTCACTAATAAATTAGCTACACAAAAAACTTTGTAAATAAAAATTCAACCGACTTCATAAGAACAAAACCACAAAAAATAGGAACTAATTCTCATCCTTTACATGAATTTAAATTACATTTACCCCCTTATTAATAAACGAAGACTAAGCTTGGATTAGTTAGTACTCAATGTTTTGTCTCTTTTCATTAACTGACAAATGACATTTTAGTGTTATGAACAAAACACGGCGTAACTAGTCCAAGCTTTTTTCTTGTTTTTTACAGTCGGACCATGACATGATAAGTCAGCAGTGGACTGACAGTAGCGAAAATTAATACAGCACATGTCAGTACTGATAATAGTTAAATTAACTATCCCTGATACTTTATTATTAACCGACTTAAAGGGGCATAAGATCGCGACCTAAGGTACTTAACGAAAAGGTGCCATCTCGTTACTGATAGCACAACTTGCGGCACAATAATGCCATTCAAATAAGAATAGGAAAGCCAATATCAGTCAAATGTCGCTTGAAAAGTACGGGTTGCAAAAAAAAAAATCTTGGAACCCTTTTTTAGCACTCCTCTAATCCAAGAATAAAAACCAAACATTTGTAAAGAAACAATAACAAATATTGATAAATAATATCCGATTGATATTTTTTTTTCACTTATTGAGCTGTAGCCATGAATGGTTGATATCCTAAGCCGTCAACCAAATGTCACTTTAAGTTGCGTTCAGAAACTCGATTTCAAACTTTCGTTTACATAAAGGATGCATGTTCGTATGTGACCTAGTAATTGTGCATGATTATTCTAACTATTCCGGCGGTAATGCAAAGATAAGCGGAATAGAAGAGCTAGATTCTGATTAATGTTTTTTCTCATTTAATAAATACATAGTTTTTTCTCAATATTAGTAAATAAATGTTATTAAAAAACTGATCCTTTTTTCACAATCTTAGTAAACCAGTTTTATTAAATAAAGCTTTTTTTTGCTCACTCTACCTATTTGGTTTGAATTGACAGCTATGAAATCACAAAGGCGCCCAGTCGGTCGTATTCTTAGTTGAATCGCATTATAATTGATAACATCCATTTGTTCAATTTGGTTCATTAACACTTTAAAACCACTGGGTTCGCAGAAATTGACCAAGCCCCCTAAAGTGACCCTGACATGGCTCCCAGTGACTTTTTCCTTTTTTCGAAACTGAAAAAGGAATTAAGGGGGCGAAGATTTTCGGATGACAATGAGAGGAAGTCAGCCGTAGAGAAACATTTTCAAGAGAAATCTTCAGAATATTATTTCAATGGTTTAAAGGCATTGTATTCACGATGTGAGAAGTGTTTTTCACTTGAGGGTGATTATATTGAAAATTAAACTTTCCTTTAAGATAATTCAGTTTTAGGGTTCCGTACTCAAAGGGTAAAAACGTTGCCCTATTGCCGACATTCTGTCATCTGTCTGTCTGTCCGTATGCTACGGGTCCCTAAATCGTAAACGGAACGAGTTACATTATGGAATGAAGTAAAAGTGTAAATGAACGATTTCACACTTATTCTGGTACATTTCCTTATGTTTATCCGAAATCTTCCAGCCCGTATTTCAGTATAAATATTGCTTCGGGTGCCCGAATTCGAGTAATGTCTTTCGTGCACACCAATACGGGCTAACGACCTAGCGTATACTGTATCATCATCAGCCTATTAATGTCTCCACTGCTGGGGCACAGGCCTTCCCCATGGATGGAATAGGGAGATTGAGTCATGACATACTGTATCATCATCAGCCTATTAATGTCTCCACTGCTGGGGCACAGGCCTTCCCCATGGATGGAATAGGGAGATTGAGTCATGACCCACCACACGGGCCTAGTGGGCTTGATGGGAGGACCAACGGCTTAGCGTGCCTTCCGAAGCACGGAGGAACTCGAGATAGAATATATTTTGGTCACCCATCCAATGACCGACTACTGCGAAAGTTGCTTAACTTCAACGATCGCAGCCGAACGCGCTAACCACCTGCGCCATCGAGCTCCTACTACTGTATAGAACTATAAATCTAAGTTGTCGTTACTCTTCTACTATGATTAGCCTAACGGTAAGGATAATCTGTTTGGTTCTTTGCAACAGTTGTTATCCTTATCCTAATCCTAACTAATATTATGCGAAATGGGTTTGTTTGTTACGTTTTCACGCCTAGAGCACTGAACGGATATTGACGAAGTTTGGTACGCATATAGTTGATGACCTGGATTAAGACATGATACTTTTCATTCCGGAAAAATTACAAGTTTCTGAGGGATTTATAAAAAAAACTAAAGTAAACCCGGACAAAGTTGCGGGCGGCCGCCAATTAAAATATAAAAACATCTAGCAACACAGCTGTAATAGGCCTCTAGTGGGCAACGGTGGCTTCGGCACTCCTTTGTTAAATGAATCGTTTATTCATCGGTTAAACTGGTCTATTTGTATAACCCCCGGGTTTGTGCAGCCCTCCATTTTGTTTTTAACGGCTGGAAAATAAAAAAAAACCGGCCGATTTTCCTCTTATTATTCAAGTTCTACTGTGCAACCAGGCTTCATTTATGTCTTAAATCAATCCTGAATGGTTTCTCTATAAACTTAGCTATGTATAAGTTGTGTAAATTAAAAACCATTACTAAATAATACACAATATAAAACGCAAATTGGAAAAATGAAAATAATTTTCTTATCTCGTGGCAGAAATCATCCACTTACACAGACGAGGGGATTATAATTATAATGCAAAATTAATATTAAAAAATGGGTGTCGTTTCGTTTGGTAGTCGCGAGATGTGTGTAACGTATATCTTCTTTCACTCGCTAGATGGCGCTAGTGGTGCGGTAACAGCCTCCCTTACTGGAGTTTGAAATACTGAAACTGGCCGTAAGATTCCTAGTGATAAAGGAACTTCTACCGTTTTTGGAAGTCCAAGTTTTTTGTTGAAAGGAATGCAAACTAGCGTATGGCCTGCTTTTTTTGAGTGTGTATGCTGTAGATCGCAGATAGGGTTACCATCAATCCGGATTAGTCAGGAGCATTTAGTCCGGACTTTGTCCGGCTTTTTTTAATTAGATGTAATATGGGTAAAACTACTTATTAAGTTATAACAAATGAGTCAAATAATCTTTATTAATTTAAAACAAAATATAAATTATCTTTATAAATCAACAAAGAGACCCCCCTCGCGATGCGAGCGTCTGCCACCACGCGTATAATATCACTGTAACTAAGTGGGTGATGTTTGCATTATGTGACTAAAATTTCCGGACTTTTAAATTTTTTTAATAATAACCCTGGTCGCAGATGACCTTTACAGCGTCACCGTGATTGGGGACGGCGAGATATCCCCACGGGGGGAGTCTTCCCTCCGTCTAGAGTCTCTAGACCACTCGAACCTGAGGGGGTATGGCCTGCCTGATGGTAACCATAGCTTATAGACGTTTGCGATACCAAAAAATACCTACGTACCTAATGTCTTAACCCGTGGAGCCCTGGAACCTTGCTCACTAACAGTTAAAATACTTAAGGAAAGACTATACGGAAGGTTAAAAATACATACTCATTAGGGTGCTCTTGAGAGAACACAAGTTGTCGTAGGCCTCATAATCTGCGCAGGTGGCTACGAAGAAAGGTCTACTCTTCTGCTTATTCTTAGATTTCTTCAATGATATCACTCCGAACCGACGTAGAAAGTTTGACATGCTTGCAGGAGTAGGAATCTTGCCTTCCACGAACACAGTTAGTGCTAGGCTGGTGCGAATGTCCAATAGACGCTTTACTAAAGTCATTTTTACAGACTGCGAACAAAATATTAAGTTAATTACAAATCAAATATTGATTGTATTTGTATTTTAATTTAAAATTACATAGTCATTGATTGGCAATTGGCAAGTTTATTTGTGTAATGTTTGTTGCCAACACTTCGTATATATTCTATTCAATAGGTGACTAAAGCAGTGATAATGATTCCGTTCATCTCTCCATTATGTTATGAGGTATTTTGTGGGTATTGACTTTCAAGAAAAATCAATCAAAAATTGTTTTTCTTGGTACTGGTACAATAATTTCACTACAATTTCACTAAAATTGGGCTTGACTATTCTGATTGAAATTAATTTATTTTATCATTTATTTATTTATAGTGATCGACGTTAATGAACAGCTTCAGGCTAAAAATATGACATTACTTATAACAGGGTGGCCAGCATTCTTACGAAATTGTTCATGTTTCAAACACGATTTAAAATTAATCGGAGATAATTAAAAAAATATAAATATCTTTCCATGTTATAATATAAAAAAACCTTTTTAATGATGTTTCATCGCTGCCGGAAACTGACTAGGTACCACTTTTGAACCGTCTCCTTTTAGACGCAATCATGGACAAAGTACCACTAAACAACAGTATTAAAAACAGGTCATTAATTTACATAATTACTAGCTGTCCCAGCGAACTTCGTACTGCTATAAAAAAAGAGGGGTTGGTGGTAGAAGGGTGAAAATTGAAGGTTGTTTGTATTTTTGTATAATGTATCATAAAAAAATATCCCAAAAATCCCTAAGGGTGTAACTTTTTTTTTTTTTGTTTTAATTTTTTTATGGTACGAAGTTCGCTGGGACAGCTAGTATTAGATATATTTTTTACAAAAGTAATAAAAATCGATGCAATGAAACAGCTGCCTACTATATTGGTACTTTATTTTCAATACTGTCATTTGTCAATCATTTTCAATATCATTATGTGTAAAATGGAGAAAGCCCCAGAAAAAATAAATTAACGTTTAAGTTTATTTTAGTGGTGTTTTTTATTATTTTAATTACAAGAGTTATTTAAAAGTAGCAGAGTATTGCATTGCTTAAAATTAGCTTATTTAATGGAGTTTAAGAATCAGTCGTAAAGGTTGAAACTCACCTTTCTGAGGATGATCATTGGCTCAACCTTGAGGCGCTTTAAGATGGGCTCGTCTTCCTTGCTTGCTGGATTTGATAGCTCTCCTACGATCTGGAAATGAAAATAATAATTAGCGAAAGTCGTGTATGAGACAAATGAATATTAGAAAAATTATATTAAATACTTCCGATTAATAGTAAGCACTGTAAGGCTTCTGTTTATGTTAAGAAGAGATGGGATGCAAATTTACTAAAGTTATTTTTTGGCTAACAAATTATGGAGGATTACGTAGGATATTATTATTAATAATAAAATCCCGGAACTCCGAGAGTGCACAACTAATCTAATATATACGAGTATTTCCTTAAAGTAAAATTTTAATTTCCCATTCAAGTATGTGTGGGTGTAAACAGAAATGGTGTGGTTAATAAGAAAACATAATGAATGTTATTTATTCATTAAGTACATCTCACACATTTTTTTATGTTATATATATATATATTATATATATAGCCAACATCTGAGGTCTCGTACTTCAGGTACCGTGAAACACGCCAACAATGCCCGTTTTTTTTCAAATAATCGTTATTATTTATAGATTTTTCAATGGTAACCTGAGTATTTTTTTATTAGATGTGACTCTTAAGATCATGGGCACGTAATGGCGAATCAAAATCTAATAATTTTTAACGATTAATTTGAGTTTTGGAGCATTTCGATGGCAGGCAGTTATGTATATGGACTTTTATCTAACATTCATCATCAGCCTATTAATGTCCCCACTGCTGGGGCACAGGCCTTCCCTATGAATGGAATAGGGAGATTGGGCCATGACCCACCACGCGGGGCGGATTGGTGGGTGCTAACGACTGCAGATGCTGCCGGGACCAACGGCTTAACGTGCCTTCCGAAGCACGGAGGAGCTCGAGATAGTAATTTTCACCCATCCAATGACCGACCACTGCGACAGTTGCTTCAGTTCAACGATCGCAGCCGAACGCGCTAACCACTTGCGCCATCGAGCTCCTCCAACCAACATTGCTTACTACGATTTCTGACGACATTATGGTCTATACATTGAAATCTTAAAAAAAAGTAGGAAGAATTTATGAAAAGATAGAGATATTATTATTTTAATTACTTTAGGAAACCATTTTTCCACATAAAATGAAAGGTCTACCAAAATAGAAGTCAAAACACACATGCTGTTTTTGTAAACTTGTTTGAAAAAGTGTTGGAATTAAAACATACCACATTACATAAGCCATCTAATTCCTTTTCAACTGCCGCAGCTAAGTACGGATCTAGTTCATAGAGATCTTCATTTATAGTTTCCTTTTTGCGCTGTTTTCTTAATACTGAAATAAATAAACACTTCCAATACCCACACCAATAAGCCTAGCCCTAAAGTAAGCTTTGTAATGGCGAGATTACACTTATTCGTTTGCCCGAATGCTAGTGCCAATGAAATTCGGGTAAACGACTAAGTGTTAATGAACAATGTCTTGTTAGATCTCACTATATGTCCTTGTAACCCTTCCATTTTTGTTGATCTAAGCTGAATGAATTAGACATAGGTATGTATGTATTTGTGTATATATTTATATATATGTATGTATATATATTTATGTATATGACTATGTATGTATTCTTGTAGGTATATAATTATATGTATGTATTGTTTTATATACTTATTTTGATTATATTTGTTAGAATGATTTTATAATGTTTTGTAGTAATTACACCGCCGTCTCTCCAGCTTCTTTCCTGTCCTCTCCATCCTAAGGTTGTCTGGAAGAGATCGCTCTTAGCGATAAGACCGCCCATTATTACACTGTATTCTTTAATTATGTACTTCATGTTTTTATGTTTTCTGTGGTGTATAAATAAAGAGTTTTGTATTGTATTGTATTGTAATGTCGAGTACGCCCGTATTCTGGTAGATTTCCTTTGTTTACACGACACCGTCTCCCACCTCGTATTTCAATGTAAATATTGGTTCGGGTGCCCGAATTCGAGTAATGTCTTTCGTCTGTCTAGCGACCAAATGTAATTGAGTCGTAGGGATTGTGTTATGGGTACTAGGGTCACGGATACAATACATATACTAATATACATACTAGCTGTCCCAGCGAACTTCGTACCGCCATGAAAAAATAGGGGTTGGTGGTAGAAGGGTGAAAATTTAGGGGTGTATGTATTTTTGTATAATGTATCATAAAAAAATAATTAACCACCCTTAACATTTCATCATCATCATATCAGCCGTACGACGCCCACTGCTGGACATAGGCCTCCCCCAAGGATCTCCACAACGACCGGTCCTGCCGGCTGCCCGCATCCAGCGTTTTCCCGCGACCTTCACCAGATCGTCGGTCCACCTTGTAGCGGGTCTTCCCACTGAGCGTCGTCCGGCACGCGGTCGCCATTCGAGAACCTTTCCGCCCCAACGGCCATCGGTTCTCCTTGCTATGTGACCCTTAACATTTAGGGGGACGAAAAAAAGATTTTGTCCGATTTTCAGACCTACTGAATGTGCATATAAAATTTCACGAAAATCGGTCGAGCCGATCGGAGTATGTAGTTCAATTACGCACACCGTGACACGAGAATTTTATATGTTAGATTATATATAAAATGTATTTTTTACGTAGAAATACATATAAATATGATTTAGGTACAAATGGTCGTTTTCATCGTAGTAACATTTGCCTCATCGGGATTCGAACCCTGGACCTCACGAGGAAGCGACACCTTGAAATCCAGCGTACATACTACTCGGCCATGGAGGCCGTGAAAATATATGAAATGCATTATATTGAAGTGAAATTTGCGAATTTCGCGTACGATGTGTGACATTTAAACCCTCACCTTATATACAAAACTACTACTACAAAAGGAATAAGTCATTTGAACATTATGTTCTTAAATCAAATCAAATAGCGCGCGCTTCCCAAACATCCTGTTACACACTTCCGTCCCACTTCACGTAATCACTACTACAAACTGCACGAAAGCGAGAGGAAAGATGTTACACATCAATAAGTATGATTTGATTTAAGTAGCGAATCTTCATAAACATAACTTACGTTGATGGACAGCTTTGTCTGAAAGAAAAAAAAAGATGTTTTAATAACTTTGAAATAAATTAAAAGGTAAAACATTATTACACAGATCAATAAACATATTAAAAGATTTGTGTGACTTTTTAAAAATGTAAAACAAAAATGCGACGCTCTCTCAACGACGCCTAAATCGCTGAACCAATATCACATAGGACTAGTGATGTAACGAATATTCGCATTCGCGAATATTCGCATATTTTTGAATATTCACATTCGCATTCCCAAAATCTGTGCGAATGTTTTGCGAATATGATTTATTTTTATTAGAAAAAAAAAACAATTTGAAGTTGTAGTTCTGCCTTTCCTTGAATATTCATTGTTACACAGTTTGCATTTAGCTCGTTCAGCATCGCAAAGTGTGAAATAAGTCCATGTTTCACTAGAATTCGATTTACTCATATTAATAAATCACTATTACCACTCACTATCACTAACCTCAAAATTCACTTGTTTTGTTTACGGAATGCCGGTGCGAGCGGAATGACACTTCAGTCGGATGAGTTCATATCAACTCGGCAATTCGAACGAGACTGCCACCATGCCATAGACAATTGGCCCAATTAAAAAAAAAACTAAATATTCGCATTCGCGAATGTCGGTACCAGACATTCGCATCCGCATTCGCATTCGCGAATGTTCATAAAATGACATTCGTTACATCACTACATAGGACACACACACATGTTATAACGCCACTAAGATACTTGTTCTGAAAAGCATCGATGGATATACAATTTTTTCTTTAGTTACACACAGTTAATGTCAAAAAAGTTAGCAAATAGGCCGGCTGAATTCAATCCCCTACCTCGCGGAGCCTTGCTAACCAGCAGATAAACAACTGGCGGTCTTTTGTAAGGTGCAGGATGCTTCCCCAGACGCGCGCTTCAATTTGAGGGGAAAATCAGCTATGCCCTACCTAACTTAAGAGCCCTTTTACAAAATTGCGCCGTCGCCGTTGCCGTAATTTTTTGCCGTTGCCGTAGTTTGCCGTGATTGGTGCGTAGGTAGATTTGCACTAGTATATATATTGCATTTTAACGGTGATGTTGCGAGTCTTGTAAAATAATTATTAATGAACTAATTATAAAAATGTATATTTCAGTAGTTCAATGATGGTAGATTAGTTTCATGAAAGTTTTCTATTTAATTCAATATCAAAATACGAGGTAAACCTGCATTATTTTATGGGAAAACTCACGGAGGTTAGATGTTTTTTTTTATAATCAATGAGATGGAAAATCAAAATACTAATACATTATGTTACAACAAAAACATATTTCTGATGTCGTAGTAATTCATTTAATCTAATTTATTGAACATTATTGAGAGATTGAGGCGTTTGAAGTTGTGCATATTATCGTTTTTTCCGTAAACTAGCTGCAGTAGAACGATCAGTACAAAAAAAGTAAAATAGTCTTTGCAAATATTCTACATTAACTTACAATAAGAAGTATAAATCTACTGTATACTTCCATTGGAAATAGTCAAAATCTTTTTTAAGGGGGTAAACGAGGCGCTCAAACATACGATACGATTTTTTGCAAAAAATGTGAAAGGGCTCTTAATCATACATTATATTATATTAATATACCCTTTCAGTAGTCGCGTATGATGTGTACTGTTACACACTTCCGTCCCATTGCACGAAATCTCTCCCCCAAATTGCAGGAAAGCGAGAGGAAAGATGTTACACATCAAAAAAATGGGCAATATAATAAGACTATTAATATGATACTTACTTCCTCCAGGATAATTGGGCAATTTCCCGGATGCGGCGACGGGCGCCGGTTGAGCAGATTTCTTCGTTTTAGGTATTGGCGGCAACTTAAAGGGTGCTTCCTTTTCAGGTGGTAGTACGGGCACCTTAATCTGTATTGCTGGTTCTGTAAGATAATTCTTTATTATAACGCCAAGTAACAATATAAAAATAACATTTAAATTAGAGTAGATGGTTACAAATGGCGGTCTCAGCCCTAAAAGCTTTCTGACAACCGTGGAAAGTTTGACAGAAACTGAAAAATTGGGTTATTAAACTACATTTACTTAAATGCACTGTGTGTGTGATTAATTACTTCCTGTAATGTGCATTGTTTTTAAATATGATAATGGAAGTTGACTTAAATCCTCTCATATTCAAGGCATTTTTTGACTGAATCAAGGAGAAAAAACAGCCCTTGCTGAGTTTCTTGCCAGGTCTGTGTCCCAGTAGTAAGAACATTATTATTCTTACTCATTACTGGGACTACTTACTATATCTACTTACTACTGGGACACAGACCTGGCATCCATTACATCAATATATAGAGATCCATTACATCAATAGGCTGAAGATTTTGATAATGGTCATAGTCTATTTCTTCGAGCTGATCAATTGCAGGATGTTGAGAGTAGTAAGATATTGGGCATTCTAACTTACTTTCATTCGGTCGCACGTCAAGTTATTTGAGGAATGCGATGCAACCGATACCGACAGCGATTGTATTACGATGTAAATCGCTTGCATCTATTCCTGTTCTCATTTGAGATATTAGGGATTCTAACTATCGAGTGCGGTCGCGGGCGCGACCGAACGAAAGTGAGTTAGAATGCCCAATACCTTACTTCTGGTGAGGTTACTCATATAGGGATCTAAGAACATTCGGTCAACAAGGCACGTGCTAAAAACAAACTCTAAAACTAAATTTTGTGAGTACCTGCTTGCGACAGTTTTGCAGATTCCTCCAGCTTTACATTCTCTGTTTTGGGTACTGGCATCGCGTTGGTTCCTTCCTGTTTCATGGGTACAGTCGCTTTTACTTGTTGCGCTGGTACTGTAATTCATTTAATTATTTTTATATTTCATAAAAAAATATGCAAATAAACGCATTAGTAACAGACTTTGTTTTTGTCGAGAAAATACTTAGTCTTTCGTAGACAGATGTAGTTATACTTTGTATTTTTTGTTATTATGCTGAATACCGCTATTAACTATAAAACTTTAGATTTAATTTTGCAGAAGCTCCATGTCGCAGAGTTTAGCAGGTTTGGTGTAAAGTCTAAACTTAAGACACTTTGGCGAAAGTTGACCAAAAGACTATTGCATGGATCTCTTTCGTGCTTTGAAATGCACTTTCTCAGTTCGATCCACCGATCTGCATTAGGTCAGTGGTTTAAGAGGCTTTGACTTTTGGATTGAATGTCCAAATGAACAGTGCCCCGATAGAGATTTGGCCACGACCTAACCGCAATCAGAGGTAGCTTTGGGCGGCGCAGCGAGCACTGGCGTAATTTTGTTCCAAATTGTTAGAAGTACGGAGCGCGCGTTCCAGGTATGCGTAGTCGGTTACGCGTGTCTTGGAATGCTATGTCCATACTTGTCAGTCTTGGGGTGCGTATACTTCGTGAGCCGCAGTCAATGTCGGTATTTTGTCGTGAAATGCGCGCACTTGTACGCCATATTTGCAGGGCTGGATTTAAGGCTGTGGCACAACTGAGATAAAAATAACCAAATTTAGACGGTCACCAACTTTACTGCCTTTTTATCTTTTCGTATTCTGTGCGGTTGCAAATCATATTTGAGATAGGGGTCGCCACTCCTCTCCTTCGTTGTCTCAGGGCCTATACACCTCTAAATCCGACCCTGTATATTTGGACGACAACGATGGATGTTCATCGAGTTTTAATAATAAATATTATTCATACGCGGCAGTCCAGGAGCTGTACGCGTATCCTATGTACGCGTGGACAGCGTGTCTCTCGACTACGCGTAACACAGGAACGCGCTATCCGTACGCAGCTTTATAGATTTTTGCTGAGCGTTATGCTGCAGCGGCGGGAGCGGCAAGAACATTTATTGTATAGTGCGATTCAAACTTAATAGAAGCCATGAAGTTAGCGCAAGTTGCGGCGCAGTAAACGTACCTTATGTCAATGCCTAAAGTCATTGAGCTAAAATCTGCACATAAAGTATGACCACAATAACTTTGCAGAGTCAATAATCTGATCACACCAGAAAAACTTGATCTGGCAGCCCTTTTAGGACGTCATTCATAAATGTCAGAAATGTCATGTCATGCGAAAATCTCACGTTTAAAGAACATTGTTTGAGGTTTTTTTTTCTTGGCGAGAAAAGAAGAGAGAAAAGTGTGGTTTTATAAAATAATAAGTCAAAAGAAATACATGGAGTCGGTTCATATGCAAAAAGAACAATGTTATGAAGAAATCCTAAGTCAACGAGTGAGTCTCAATCAATTTCTTGATACTTATTGGTGATGAGGTACTTGAAACTTGAAAAAAATAGGAACAAGTTCCTCATTTTTTTAAGTCGATTATAAATAAAGTATCATGTATAGTTAATTAAAATATAATCAGTACTGCCATGTGCAAAGTTAAAATTTTTGATATTGTCAGTCCACTGCAGAATTATCGTGGTTCGACTATAATTGCACTCGCTGCTAACTTCACAGCCGTTATAATGTTTAATTGCACAATGCGTAAAGAGAAGTACGACGCTGCTAATACTCAGTGAAAAAAAAATATATAAAGAAGATTTTGTAGCGGTTTTGCTGGAGCTTAGTCGAACTTATAATCGAATTGAATCTATTTTATTTCAATGTGTTTTGTAATTTACAGTTACATTAAACTGAGAAATGATAATCTTTTATTTAATGTAGGTTACTACTTCTCTCTGCTTGGTGAAACCGCGGCGTTCGCAACGCCACACCGTTGGCCTCTAAACCACAAGTCTTGGCCCGACAATTAAGAACTGAAGACGAAGCAATACATAACTTCACGACTTTTGCAGAATTACCAAAGAATCAAATGCAGCCATACATTTGATCATAAGACGTGAGCAAAAATAATGTCATCAAAATCCTCGATGCCATACTTGACAATGGTTGGGTCCCCAGATTTGTATTCCGAAATAAATAAGACAATGGTTTCACCAACTCTGCTGGGTCCTAGGCTTTTACTATCTGCGTGAGAAAGTAGGAATGTTTTAGTTAAGCACAAAGGTGACCAATAGCATATCGGTCACATTATATCGGATTTACATGCTTGCCAAGCCGTTTGGACGAACTTTTTGTATGTCGGTGGGTACGATAACCCAGCTCTAGTAAGTGCGGTACGAATATGTGGCATTGAATTTAGTTAAAAATATAGTGTCTGACGGTAACGTCAATAGCTTTAAGTTCTTAATTTTAATGTTATGCTCGTTTTTGAATGGGGAAAACTAGTGAACTTACCTGCTTGGTTCTTGTCTGTAACCTGTTCCTCTTGCTTGATTTTGTTCTCTTCCGCCGCTAAATTCTTAATCACCGCTGCGAGGAACACCTTGTCTCCAGTGACGGGGAATCGCTTACGATACTTCTCAACTATAGTAGGTGCGGGCACAGCGAATTCTCCTAGCAGAAGCAGATCGACCCGTGTGTGAACCGCCTTCTTGATAGCTTTTAACAACCCCCTCTCTTCAGATGGGCTCATAGGTACATCGTGTTCAGCGAAAATCTGTTTACCTATCAGTGCAACTGCGAGTTGTCGCCACGCAGTGTCTCTTCGAATCATAGCCTTATAATCAGATGATTTGTTATGAGGGGCAGGAGGATTTCCTTTAGCTTTTGGATTTCCTTTGCCTGATGGGTTTCCCCGAACAGCCAGATTTCCTCTGGCTGCTAGACCACCCCTAACAACCGCGTTTCCTCTACCTGACGGCTCACCCCTGATAGCCGGATTTCCTCTACTTGATGGATTGCCCCTAATAGCCGGATTTCCCCTACCTGATGAATCACCCCTAACGGCCGGATTTCCTCTACTTGAGGGGCTACCTTTATCAGCAGGATTGCCGCTACCTGATGGGTTTGCTCTAATAGCCGGATTTCCTCTACCCGATAGGTTGCCTCTAACAGCCGAATTCCCTCTACCTGATGGATTGCCCCTAATAGCTGGATTTCCTCTATCAAATGTATTCTCTCTAACAGATGGATATCCAACATCTGATGATTTTCCCCTAGCGGGTGAATTTCCTCTTCTTGGTGGGTTTAATCGAGGGGGTGAATATCCTTTACCTGATGAATTTCCCCAAACAGGCGGGTTTTCTCTACCTGACGGATTTCCACTGGTGCTTCTAATAAGTCCAACATCGAGTTTCTGCTTCATTAATTCCGGTAGACGTTGTATCTTTTGTGGTGGAGCAAATTGACTTTCGTTTCTATTTAAGTGAGATGACTGAGTAAGAGATTCACCCCACGTCCGAGCTAGAGCATTGTCATTGCCAAATGAGTCTGGGTTTGGGCGTTTTCTTGATGGTTGGTTTCTGTCAGACTGTCGCCGATCATCTGACTTGTAAGAGTCTCGTCCTGTTTGTGCCCGGTCGTTGTTTTGGAAGTTGCTGGGGCCCCATCGTTGAGATGGTTCATCTCGCTGATTATAACGACGATCGTCATCTTTCATTGGCCCTTCGTAAGCTTTATAAGATTGGAATGTTTCATCATCACGCGGGTCATAATTAGAATCCCGAGGATCGCGGTCATTAGGGGCATTGCGACCATGGTAGCTGTTGTCGTATCGCTGTGGGCTATCACGGTACCTGCTATCATAAGCGGCGTCCTCACAAGAATCGACCCTATGAGGAGAGCGACTTCGCCGACCAGATGGACCGGCCTCTCCGGCGTTCCATCTAGTCGATCTCACTGACCTTTTGTCATTCGGTTTATTGGGTTCAGATCCCCAACCAGATTGCTTTACTTGATAAGGGTGATTGTTTCTATCACGTTGCACGTCACCGCCATCTCTGTTTTGTGGATTAACATTTCTTCCGCGCTTATTTTTGCTACCGGCAGAATTATTTGCCATCATACCAGGTGCATTTTGGTCCAGATTGTTAAAGTTATAATTTGCCGTGGATGTTTTCGCCGTTGCTGGGACTTGGCCGCTGTTGTCCATAAAAGCATTCTGTGGAGAAATCATGTCGGAATCACAACGTTTTACACAGTGACTGAGAGTTATAGGCCTCGTATATAGAAACGCGAAGTTATGTTTACGCGTCGAGGTACCGAAGTCAAGAAAGGCAGTTCCTTCACTGTGTCTTAACAAGTACAAATAGTAATACAACGAAGAATCACATTCGATTGTCTTGATTGCATCGTTAAGTGATTTTCGCAACTGGTAGTTTTCTCCATGAAAACACTGCAGACCCTGCAGTACTGACGGTTCCTTCAATAAATACTTATTAAAGGAATCGTCAGTACTGCAGCGTTAAACAAACATAAATATTTGTCGATATTTCTTATGATTGCAATGTAAAGACACGGATCATTTGACTGATTGAGGTGTGATACATAGGGCTCCCACACAAAACTGCGATGCGATGCGAATTCGTGTGGCAAAGCTTTGGTTAGGGAGATCATACCTTCAACGGTAGTACTGGACGTGTTTTAGTAATAGTGACATGAATTTATTTTTTAATATTATTTTAGAATGAGCATAATCTTCATTTGAAGAACTTATGAATTTTACCACCATGTCTACAAAAACTATCGTACAAGGGAAGTCGGAGCTGACTAAAATAGTGTCACAAAGTGTGACTCGGATATGTGCGATGCGAATCAGATCGGAAGCATTTGTGCGAGATATTTGCGATGCGATGCGAATTCGCAGTTAAGTGTGGGAACACATAATGTATATACAATTTCCACTGGCAAAATCCATGCTAACTTGTTCATACTCACAGAGCACCTCCACAAGGCACCCGCTTGCGCCCAGCCTAGGAATTATTACTTAATATGCGTGTGACACGCCTCCAATCGTTTCACCAAATTTGCTAGGTCCACCGTGATGTCGAACGGATGTGTCCGATCAAAACGTGGCTTAAGGTGCCATTCCAAGACGGGCTGCAGACCGCAAACTGCAAGCGACACCACCTTTTTCTATGGATTTGATTCCGAACGCGGCGACACTGCGGCCTGCAGCCAGCGGACAAGGGCCGCGGCGCGCAGCGACCGCAGCGCAGACTGAAGTGACTGAGGCATGGTTCTATGCATTGGTCAATCGCGGCATGATGAAATGCTTGGAAAAGCAACCACGACCGCTGACGACACCGCATTCGCTAGCCGCAATATCGCCTGCAGTAGCAGTCTGCAGCCCGGAATTGTACCTTTATCCTCCACGCACGCAACTGTAGCGATTTCGATTTCAAACAAGAATTGAGTAATGGGGACTCTAGTAGCGGTGCTCTGTGTTCACACCAAATGAATTGTCATCTCCTGAATGTGACAATTCAACATCACGACATGTTTGCATTAGAAGTTGTGTTATATTTTATTAACTTCTCTTTCTTTGATCATATACAAACCTAGATTAACTGCATGGAAGCGGCAGAAAAGCATCCATTAGATACGGTAGAAAAGCTCGTCGATACACATGCACACATTGACTGCTCTGAATCAATCTGACATTAGAGTCACGTACACATTGCGCGTAACATGCCGTTTTCTTTGCGTAGTTTATATGTATTGCTCTTTATAGGTGTGTATATAATCAAAGTTCTCCTCATTCCTTCTCTGCTTGTTCAGTGGTGTTAACTTAGTAGGTAATGCTGAAGCAACATTAGAGAAACTACCATACCATATGAAGTATATAGTAGAGGAATAAGAAAGCTATGCTTCATATTCTTACAGTTTTTAAAAATATTAGACTGATGATTATGTAGTGATATGACAACCCTAGTTGAAGAGGTCTTGATAAAATTGCCACACTAAACCAACTCCACATAAGGCATTAAATGGGCCAACTTTATTTCTGGTTACAGGTGTGGCAGATTGTCAATACAGCATCTCATGATTACTGTAATTGACTGGTCTAAGTTTGACTTTTGTTGAATATTTGTAAATTGGCTTAACAAAGTAAGCCACATTTACTTCGTACAACATTAACCCAATTATTAGCACTACAAGCAATAGCTTATCATAATTGGGTTGTTTATTCTATATTATTCTTTGCACACTGATGTTGCACAGTCTCTTGCACCTTACAGACCCTGCCAGAATACCAGTGTTGTTGTCATATGCTTAGTAACATGTGGTAACAGCATCTTGCTGAGGCAGGGTCCTGATTAAACATTACATTGCTATTGAGTTATTTCAGTTTCTTTTAAATTTTATTTTTAGAATTAGTGTTAATGTTTTTTTTTCTTTCTTTTTTTAATACTTGTGTAATAAAAAATCTCTCTCTTGTATTTTATATAATGTTCATATTATATTTTATTTATCAAATCTTATATAAATGAGAATTTTACAAAACAATAAATATAAAAATATGTACAATACAATTTACCCAAAGTTGTTTTTGACTAACAAATTATGGAAGCGGCTTCTTTTCAGATGGCAAATTCTGGAATAACTTAACTAATCTGATGTATATTTACTTAAAGTATGTGTGTATGTAAAGTATAAGAGAAATAGTGGTGTGGTTAATAATAAAACATAAATAAATATAAATGTTTTTATTAATATGGACATCTTAGACAATATCATCTTGTTATAAACACAGGACAACTGTCTTTTGTGTCAAACTGGGTTTATTAGATCTGACTTAAATTTAGATTTCCCGGAAAAGTGCTTTCCATCATAGCCAATATATCAACTTTAGGTAAATATGCATGTGATTATTGGATCACTAGTCATTCATTATTCACAAATAACTTGAATAAAAAAACTCTTCAAATAACTTACCTGTTGTTGGGGCATAACGTACATGCCCATTCCCATCATCTGTTGATTCATCATCAATGGCATTATTTCTGGCATCATATACTGATTATAATTTGCCATGTTAGAATATGGCATATTCATAGGAAAAGCGGAGTTTTGCTGAGCGTACATGCTCTGTGGTCCAGGCAGGTCATTGCTTTTGTCTTGCTGAATGTCACGGTTCGTAGTCAATGAGGCCATAGGACGGTAAGGTTGCTCTGATGACTGGAACAATATAATTTGATAACATTAATGTAACAAACTGTTGTACCTAAATTAAACAAAAAAACAGACTATCCTATCTTATCACTCTAATATTACAAAGGCGAAAGTTTGTGAGTGTGTATGTTTGTTACTTCTTCACGTCTAAATGGCTGGAGTACTTTTAATAAAATTTGGTATGGAGTTAGCTCTATTACCCTGGATTAACACATAGGCTACGTTTTACTGCAGGAAAATATCCCTAATCAACCGCGGGTAACACAGTGGGCCACAGCTAGAATAAAATAAATGCGAAAGTTTGTAACTCAATCACCAAAAAACTACTAAATAGATTTATTATGAATATGGTTCGCTTATAGTTTATGACCTGGATTGAGACATAGGATACTTTGCATCGCAAAAAAATTACAGGTTCCTGTGGGTTCTTCAAAAAACTAGTTTTATACCGAAGTGGCGGGCGGTTGCTAGTAATCAAATCAAATTTCTCACACCAATTAGTCTAACCCTGAAGAAAGCACTGTAAGGCTTGTGTTATGAGATACTAGGTTTTAATTAATTATATCTGATAGTACATATTAGCAAAAGTTTACATAAACTGAAGGTGTTACGAACCTTCTTTTTCTGACGAATGTCCTCAACATAAAGCTGAGCTCCCTGGACGTATAAACCGTTTATTTTGCGCACGAGAATGGCTGCATCTTCCTCTTCAACTACACCAACTGTCACTTTTTTATACTGCCCATCTTTGACTAAATGGTCCAATAAAACCTCGGACAAGCCACACTGTGATTGAATCAGCGTCTTTACATCAGAATACCGTGTCTAAAATCAAGGGTTAATTGATTCAATAATCAAACCTAACAATCCACATAATACCAAATATGCTTTATACATACATTCACTGGCAAATTATGTATCGTTAGTAACATTTTGAGTCAAACATGGGCTCGCAGAGGAAATCAAGAGGAAATAGCCGGAATACAAAACTGACTGCCAGTGTTGCCAACTCAGATTTTGAAAAAGGCGTAGGCCCGATGAGAAAATTACGTAGAATTAGTAAAATTTGCATATGAAAAGTTCGTAGATCTACGTACTTTTTTCTGAGTGAAATGAAAAATATAAGGAGAGGTGAAACCGAATAAAACGAGCATTTTTCTATACAATTTTTTTTAAAAAAAGGAGATAGAACATAGAGTTCCTGGAGAAGACGTTGCATTGGCAGCATTTACCATGCTGTGGTGCATACCTTCAGACACAGTCATTGGTAGACGTCTATTCTGGCATAGTTCTCTAAACTTAAAACTAAATTTAACGTCCGTCTCCCCTTTTCAACACTGTTGTCAAATAGCCTAATTGACACTTTTTGATAAATTGTTCTATTAGACCGAAAATAATGTTTTGAATTTTTTTTTCCTGTAACTTTATCAACTGTGAAACTAATTTCTTTTTGCAAAGATCATTTCGATGTAAGTACTCATTCAATAATATTTTTAGTTTAAAAATACATTTTTAAGGTAATGTACCTACTATGTCCAAAAGTTTTGTCGTTTCTGCTTTTAGAAATCCGGCGTGCAGTTTTAATTGTGTCCGTGATGCTAGCGTACCCACGATCAATATACGGTTTTTCCTTATGCCATTAAATACTGCGTAAATAGTGCCAAATTAGTGTAAAAATAAAAAAAATAGTGCCTCTTTAATTTAAGAAATAAAGACCATTTTTACTGTGTACGCTACCATGACGTCAAGCTAGCGTACCCAAGGCCGACCCCAAGAACGGCATATATTTAAGCAACGAAATTGACACACAAAAATAGTTCGCAAATAGTGCCCTGGCTTTACAAAATTTCATAATCAATACTCTTAAAGTACCAAAGATATTGAACTAAACATTCTTAGCTGGCGTCAACCTGGCGTACTCATAATAGTTCTCATAGAAAATGAACTTTTATCGTTATCAATTCTATGTGTATAAATAGTGTGTCAAATAGTGCCTCTAACAGTAAAAGTATTTTATGTGAATCCGCATCACAACAATACATAAAAAGAATCTTAAATTCTAGGAACAAATGTATTGTAGTACAGTTGCACACAAATTTAATTTATGCACTAAGAAATTATCTATATATGTAATTTTACTAAAATAAATAGGTAGGTACTTTTTATAAAAAGATATTTTATTTCAATTCGAATTCACCAATCATAAATTCATATAAGAATTTCAACCTACCTACTAAGTACCTTACTTACCTACTATACTACGAAAATATTATCACTTCTGTACATGACTGTACTTTATATATAAAAATAATTTAATTGCTTTTTTATATTGTTTTACTGTGAATTCACATAAAATACTTTTACTGTTAGAGGCACTATTTGACACACTATTTATACATATAGAATTGATAACGATTAAAGTTCATTTTCTATGAGAACTATTATGGGTACGCCAGGTTGACGCCAGCTAAGAATGTTTAGTTTAATATCTTTGGTACTTTAAGAGTATTGATTATGTAATTTTGTAAAGCCAGGGCACTATTTGCGAACTATTTTTGTGTGTCAATTTCGTTGCTTAAATATATGCCGTTCTTGGGGTCGGCCATGGGTACGCTAGCTTGACGTCATGGTAGCGTACACAGTAAAAATGGTCTTTATTTCTTAAATTAAAGAGGCACTATTTTTTTTATTTTTACACTAATTTGGCACTATTTACGCAGTATTTAATGGCATAAGGAAAAACCGTATATTGATCGTGGGTACGCTAGCATCACGGACACGTTTTAATTTAGTCAACAAAACCAATAAACGGAAACTTTTCTACAAGAAATAAGAGTTTTTAGATATATATTAGTCCGACGAAAGAAACCACAGTAACACGACAATGACAGTTAGTTGTTTACAAATTTTGTAATGTCACTATCATGGCGGACAGCGTTTTCAGTGTTTAAAAAGAATAGACTAAAAACAATTTTTCGAATTAAATAACTACAGCCATCTTCTTATTTTATGAAGTGAAATCGATCTATTTAAGTTCCTCATACCAAAAACTATAAGAAATAAACATTTGTATAGTTTTTAAATAAAGTAACGGAAAATATGCTTCTTTATTCTAGTGAGTTATGTTATTTTACAAATTTGTACAAATAGAAAGAAAATACGTAGATTTGGGACTGCAGTTAGTAGGTTTGCAGAAAAGGCCTAAAATACGTAGATCTTCGTAAAAATACGTAGAGTTAGCAACACTGCTGACTGCTAAACAAAATGTAGGTACTTTTTTTTTTAATTTATTGGCAATGGAGGTAGAATCACAGAGCAATGTTACCATAATAAAAGCGCCTACTGACATGCCTGCCGCAGGGACAACCTAGGGTGCAAGAGTGGGGATGTACCTTAATTGCCTCCTGAATTGTGATGTGTGTAGGCAAGTTGGGGCAATTTTCTAAATCGGGCCTGCGGCAAGGCGGCAGGAGCGCGCGACCATCCTTGGTCACTAGATTGTCCCAGTAGCCTGCAGCCCTGCACGTTGCCGCGTGTGTAGCGCGATTGGGGCAATTTCTCAATCAGTTGGTAGCTGTCACACGGAGCACACGTATTTCGATAAAGATGGCGGCAGATCATAATGAAGTTTGGAGTGTCCGTGATGCTAGCGTACTCACGATCAATATACGGTTTTTCGTTATGCCATTAAATACTGCGTAAATAGTTCCAAATAAGTGTAAAAATAAAAAAAATAGTGCCTCTTTAATTTAAGAAATAAAGACCATTTTTACTGTGTACGCTACCATGACGTCAAGCTAGCGTACCCATGGCCGACCTCAAGAACGGCAGATATTTCAGCAACGAAATTGACACACAAAAATAGTTCGCAAATAGTGCCCTGGCTTTACAAAATTTCATAATCAATACTCATAAAGGACCAAAGATATTGAACTAAACATTCTTAGCTGGCGTCAACCTGGCGTACCCATAATAGTTCTCATAGAAAATGAACTTTTCTCGTTATCAATTCTATATGTATAAATAGTGTGTCAAATAGTGCCTCTAATAGTAAAAGTATTCCGTTCTTGGGGTCGGCCATGGGTACGCTAGCTTGACGTCATGGTAGCGTACATAGTAAAAATGGTCTTTATTTCTTAAATTAAAGAGGCACTATTTTTTTTATTTTTACACTAATTTGGCACTATTTACACAGTATTTAATGGCATAACGAAAAACCGTATATTGATCATGGGTACGCTAGCATCACGGACACAAGTTTGGACACAAGTGATCGAAGTATATAGATAGTGCTCAATTACAGAGCATAAAGCCCGTCACAGACGTAGCTATAATATATATTAATATATCGAAATATATATTATATTATAGCTAACTACCACAGACGGGAGCTATACTATAATATATATTTTGCCCTCACTCGGTCTGCGGTCGTTTTTGCAAGCGCACGGTTTTAAAGCTTATTTTCTAGCACAGGGTGTTTTAATTTTGAAATAACGTTATAATCAATCTTAAAATGAATGAATGGAATGAATTCAACAAGAGCACTACTTTTAGATTTAATTGAAAGTTCCTCAGAGGATGATTCCGATGCTGAATTTGATATGCATGTTGCCTTGTCAGGAACGAAAAATATAACCATCTGGGTAGAGTCGCATATAAAACAAAAGAAAACTTGTGGTGAATTTAATTTGTATCTTGTTTTGTCATCCAATAAATTTGCACAGTATTTTAGGAGAGGGAGGGTGGGGGAGAAATGCTCGTGCGCATTTGAGCCGGAGATCGGGCAGGCGTTAAGAAAAAAGTTGAAAATTCCGTATTCAAAATATATACTAATATGCCAAAATATATCCCGTCACAGACATAGCTATAATATATATTAATATATCGAGATATTATATTAAACAAACTACCACAGACGGGAGCTGTACTATAATATATATTTTGGCAGGCGTTCAGGGAAAAATGGAACATCGCGTATCATAAAAATATATCAAAATATATATTAATATGGCAAAATATACACTAATATGGCAAAATATATCTGTCGACATATTTTGGTGACGTCATAGAAATATATATTATAGCTGCGTGTGCGGTCACTCGAAAATTTATATTGAAAATATGTTGTAATATATTTTGCTATGATTCATATTAAAATATATTATAGCTATGTCTGTGACGGGCTTGAGCCGGAGATCGGGCAGGCGTTCAGTGAAAAGTTGAACATTCCGTATTAAAAATATATACTAATATGCCAAAATATATCCCGTCACAGACGTAGCTATAATATATATTCATATATCGAGATATTTTATTAAACAAACTACCACAGACGGGTGCTGTACTATAATATATATTTTGGCAGGCGTTCGGTGAAAAATGGAACATACTGTACCATAAAAATATATCAAAATATATATTAATATACCAAAATATACAGTAATATGCCAAAATATATTTGTCGACATATTTTGCTGACGTCATAGAAATATATATTATAGCTGCGTGTGCGGTCACTCAAAAATTTATATTGAAAATATGTTGTAATATGTCTTGCTATGATTTATATTAATATATATTATAGCTACGTCTGTGACGGGCTTAATGCGACTCAGTGGCGCACAATGCCGAATTATGCTGATGCTTAATTGGAACGTGAATTAGTTTTCAAATGCACTAGCAGAGTGCGCTAAGTTCAGTGTTGAAAAAAAAAGTCAATGTTTGTACTTTCATCCACACTTATATTTATTTTTTAACACAGTTTGAATTAACTTTGATTATTTAAAAAAAGCTACAAAAAAAGAAAGCTTTAAAAAAATTCATCGATAAATAATATTACTAACGATAATAAATAAATAAAACATTTGGATCAATGCCAACTTAAAGAAAAAACACTTGTTAATTTTCTGTCACTGAGTTGGTACAATGAGGGCTACCGTTTTCTGCCTCACCAGATGGCGCCACTGTTGAGTGAGGTCCTAAATTGTAACTTTTAAAGTTTATT